GCAAATACGGTGACCTCCCTCACTCAAAGCCCACCAGGGGTCATGGAACTGGGAGTATTAGAGATAAATTATTCAAATCCTTTGTTTTGTTGATAGGGAAATCAAAACCTTGAAAGAGGATGGGACTTCCTCAAAGTTACACAATGAGTCAATGGCATTGCTGGATCTAAATCCTGTATTCCTCTTTCTAGTAGTACATGTTCTTGTCTAAACCAGATTATGCGAACATCTCTCCTGACTCTACTAGTAGCCCCTGTTACCAATAAAAGAAGCTTCAGATTTCCATTTTCTTCCCTGATGTCTGAAATCAGGTCCATTTCACAGGTTAGGTGTTAGGTGACTCACTCCAAATACCAACTTATTTGTACCCACCCAACAATTAGACTGAAGTGTTTCAATAGCCTTGTCTTCCTCATTCTGGCATGTTGAAAAATGAGATAAAAGTAGATTTTTCTGCAAATTGTTGCTTATATTCTAACCAGAACTAAGCTTGATGGGCATGCTATGGAAAAGGACCTGTGCTGAGCTCTTTGGGAAATCTCTTTTTAGAGACAGGGTCCCACTCTGTTGCTCAAGCTGGAATGCAGTGGCATGATCATAACTCACTGCAGTCTAAAACTCCTGGCCTCAAATGATCCTCCAGCCTTAGCTTCCCGTGTAGTTAGAATTACAGGCATGAGCCTTCATACCTGGCTCTAGGAGACTTTTTTAAATGGGCTAAGTTTTACTCCTATAATTCAAGGAGTTTGTTCTTGATGAAAGTACAGGTGTGCAGAAATAACACAACCTAGAATGTAGCAACTCCCCTTAGAATGGAAGGAAACCAGGGCAGGCGCAGTGGCTTACTCCTGTAATCCCAGCACTTTGGGAGGCCGAGGCTGGTGGATCACGAGGTCAAGAGATCGAGACCATCCTGGTCAACATGGCGAAACCCCGTCTCTACTAAAAATACAAAAACATTAGCTGGGCATGGTGGAGTGCGCCTGTAGTCCCAGCTACTCAGGAGGCTGAGGCAGGAGAATTGCCTGAACCCAGGAGGCAGAGGTTGCAGTGAGCCGAGATCACGCCATTGCACTCCAGCCTGGGTAACAAGAGCGAAACTCCGTCTCAAAAAAAATAATAATAATAATAATAATGGAAGGAAACCAATAGTTTGGGGGTTGCAAGTAGAAAGTCTAAATGGGGTATCAAAGAAGAATCAACAGAAATAATGACATTTGGATTGGGGGGTAAGGAATAGGTAAAGGGCACAGCAAGAATAAAGAGGCAAAACTAAAAAAGAATGAAAACATTAGGGTGAAGCTTGAAATATCTGCAGACAAATTGTGGAAAAAAAAGTAAGAAGTGTTGGGGACAAGTTCTAGAGAGCTGCTAATGTCAGGATTAAGAAAAAGTGCTTCATTTCCTAGGCAACAGGATGTTGTTGAGAGGTGGGGTAGGGGTTAGGGACAGGCACTATCGTTCACACTGGTAAAGCCTTGGAGACAAAATGTGTCATTATTTATCAAACTGCTTAGGTAGCCGCACATCACCTGGAATTTCACTTCTAGGTATTTTTTACTAAGAGATGTAAGGATGTTCCTTACAACATTGTGTCTAATATTAGGAAATTAGAAACAACCGAAATATCTAACTATGGGATAATGGATCTCAATTGGGGTAATTGGGAAATGTCTGGAGGTATTTTTGGTTGTTACAACTTGGGGCGGATGCTATTGTTGTCTAGGGTAGAAATCAGAGTAAACATCCTACAACGTATAGGACAGCCTCCCATGACAAAGAATTACTGGACCCAAAATGTTGATAGTGTCAAGGTTGAGAAACCTGGCTGCGAAGGGGAGTCCTATGGTGTTCCAGTACCCCTGTACAGTGAAATGCTTTGCAATAATTAAAATGAATGGGACAGGCTGCGCATACTGGCTCATGCCTGTAATCCCAGCACTTTGGGAAGCTGAGGTGGGTAGATCACTTCAGTCCAGGAGTTCAAGACCAGCTTGGGCAACATAGTGAGACCCCCATCTCTATGAAAAATACAAAAATTAGCTGGGAATGGAAGTGTACACCTTCAGTCCCAACTACTCAGGGGGCTGAGGTGGGAGGATTGCTTATATCCCAGAGGCAGAGGTTACAGTAAACTGAGATCGCGCCACTGCATTTTAGCCTGAGCGACAGAGTGAGACCCTGTCTTAAAAAAAAAAAAGAATGGAAAATACCTCTGAAAGATACTCATGATATAGAGTTCACGGTCCTGCCACCATGAATGTGTCTGATGTCTCCTAAGCAGTATTGCGCTGGTTACTATTTGATAGGAGAACACTTGGAAACTGGGTACTATAGGAATTCTTTTTTGTTTGTTTGTTTGTTTTGTTTTTTAGAGATGAAGGTCTCACTTGAGCCTAGCTGGCCTCCAACTTCTGGGCTCAAGTAATCCTCCCACTTCGGCCTCTTGAATACTAGAGGTATAGCCCAACTCACATGGATCTTCTTTTATTTATTTATTTATTTATTTTCTGCTCATTTACTGAACAGGATATTCTAATTCAATTAAATTCTGGCATTATCTACCTGGAGAGAAACTCAGATCTCATAGGTTGAGAGCTCAGTCCCATAAGACTGTTTCCCTGTGCCTTACTTTGGGCCTGCAGTGCTTCTGACCAGCCAGATTCAAGTTGAGGTTCCCATGACCCCCTCTTTGGGTTCAATTAATTACTAGAGTGGCTCACAGAACTCAAGGAAATTTACTTACCTTTACTGGTTTGTTATAAAGGACATCACAGAGGATACAGATGAAGACAGGCATTGGCATCCCTGAGCTCACCACCCTCTAGGAACCTCCATGTGTTCAGCTGTCCGGAAGCTTATTCGAGCCCTGTCCTTTAGAGTTTTTATGGAGGTTTCATTACACATGCATGATTGATTAAACTATTGGCCACTGATGATCAACTAAAGCTTTAGGACACTTTCCCTGCCCTAGAGGTGGAGGGTGGGGTGAAAGTCTCACCCTCTAATTGTGGCTTAGTCTTTCAGGCAACTAGCCACCCAGCCTGAATCTACCTAGGGATTACCAGGCACCAGTCAATCATTATTAGTATACAAAAATACATCACCCTAGAGATTCTAAGGATGTTAGAAGTTGCATTATCTGGAAATAGAGTTGAAGACCAAATATATATCACAATATCTGAATACCAAAGAGGTGCCAGGCACCCTTGTAAGGCCTAGGAAATCAACCCTGACAGCTCCCTGCCCTCACGAAGCTCACAGTGTAGTGGGAGGACAGACAACAGGACAAGGCAACAAAAAACAAACATGATGATTGCTGATAGTAATCAATGTAACAGAAAAAATCAATAGGCGGATATCATAGGCAGAAGCCAGGGAAAGGGTATTTGGAGGCCACTTGGGATAAGATAACTAGAGATGACCTGTATGACCTGAAATCTGGAAGTAAAGAAAGAGATGGCGTGCGGAGAGCTGAGAAAGCACATTGGGCCAGAGTTCTAGTTCTTTATGATGGGAGTGTCTGGAAGGTTCGTGTTGCTGCACAAGCTGCCAGATCCGGGGTTGGGGGTGGGCACCTGTGCAGACAGTGCTGGATGGTTGCAGTGCCCCAGAATTTATTACGTTATGAAATAAAGGAGGCAATCTACTTTCAAGGCAAGGTCATTTACAAAGTTCAAAGTGCTAGCAAACTGTCTGAAATTATGCATTCCACATAGTTTACAACATAGAGATGCCAGCCTCTAGCAGATACAGTCATGGAAGCTAAAGTAATTCTCATCCAGAAAGGAAAGTGCTCTGTCTCCTTCCTAGTGGGCAACAGGGGCATTTTAGGATTCTGGTATTTCAAAGATTCACTGGAATTGATAGAATGTGGACTATTGTGTGGACCTCGCTCTTTTTCTCTCTCTTTCTCTCTCTCTCTTTCTTTCTTTCTCTCTCTTTCCTTCCTTCCTTCTTTCCTTCCTTCCTTCCTTCCTTCCTTCCTTCCTTCCTTCCTTCCTTCCTTCCCTCTTTCTTTCTTTCTCTCTCTTTCTTTCTTTCTTTCTTTCTTTCTTTCTTTCTTTCTTTCTTTCTTTCTTTTTTTTGACAAAGTCTAGCTCTTGTCACCCAGGCTGGAGTACAATGGCACAATTTTGGCTCACTGCAACCTCCACCTCCTGGGTTCAAGCAGTTCTCCTGCCTCAGCCTCCCAAGTAGCTGGGATTACAGGCAGTGCCACCACACTGGCTAATTTTTGTATTTTCAGTAGAATGGGGTTTCACCATGTTGCCCAGTCTGGTCTTGAACTCCTGATCCTCCCACCTCAGCATCCCAAAGTGCTAGGATTACAGGCATGAGCCACCACACACAGCCCATTGTGTGTATTTCTGACAGACAACCTAAGAAAGTCCAGGCTGAAGCCAGCAAAAACACATTAAAGCACCAGGAGAAAGATCGAGTGCGTTGAAGGGAAATGGATTTTTAAAGGTAAGGCTCTATGAGTTAACTAGAGGTTAAAAATAAAATGCTAACTAGAGGTTACATCTGAGTACAGGATTATGGGTGATTTTAATAGTCTTCTTTGTGTATGTTCAACAGTGAATATAATATGTATTACTTTTGGAATAAAGGGAAAACTGAGACAGGTGTGTTGTTTTATAATGGCCCTTAGATTGCTAAAATTAGAGAGTCACTGAAATCTAAAGCTGATAAAAACCTTAGTGCAAAGATTGTGAAATGGGAGACTACAGGTACCAGACCCATAATGTACATGAGGACAGCAGGCCGAGGGGCCCTGAACAGTGAAAGCCCACATGGGAGAAGACCCAGGGAAGGGGAGTGGAAGGGTGAGGCAAGGGGCTGGGGGATGCAGAGTCTGGCACACAGTCACCTCTCAGCTTCAGCCATTCCTGCCATGGAGGGACATGGACAGAGGAGCCAAACAAATCTCCTAAACAGTAAATGTCAGTCTTCTGGGTCAGATATTTAAGACTAACAGAGGGCAGAGAAAACACACCCACAGCAAGTAGATTGTCTCTGTGCTGCCTTTTTGCAGCCTCAGCTTTGGCGGTGCTGGAGCCCATCTCCTGCTCTGTGCAGACATCTCTCCTTAGCTCTTACTAGAACAAGGTGAAAGAAAATTCTCATCTTCTCCCCTCTGGCCCCGCAGCATCTGGAACACACTGATCCTCATAATCCTTGTTCTTGAGAAATATTAATGACTTAATCTCCCAAGCCTGCTCCCCCCACTCCTATGCGGCCATCTCAGTATGTTTTGCAGACAAGACCCAGAGAAGTCCAGGTTGGACTTGGTACCGACTGCAAAACTGCCTTTGGAAGGCCTCCGCCCCAGCCCTTCTACAGAGTAGTCAGTGGGACTTCCAGCCATGGGCGAAGTGACAGCAGAGGAGGTGGAGAAGTTCCTGGACTCAAATATTGGCTTTGCCAAACAGTACTACAACCTCCACTACCGAGCCAAGATCATCTCCGACCTCCTTGGGGCTAAGGAGGCTGCCGTGGACTTCAGCAAGTACCACTCCCTGAGCAGCGTGGAGGAGAGTGAAATCATCTTTGATCTCCTGCGGGATTTTCAGGAGAATTTACAGACAGAGAAATGCATCTTTAACGTCATGAAGAAGCTGTGCTTTCTCCTGCAGGCAGACCGCATGAGCCTGTTCATGTACAGGACCCGCAACGGCATCGCGGAGCTGGCCACCCGGATTTTCAATGTCCACAAGGATGCTGTCCTTGAGGACTGCCTGGTGATGCCTGACCAGGAGATCGTCTTCCCTTTGGACATGGGCGTTGTGGGCCACGTCGCACACTCTAAGAAGATTGCTAACGTTCCCAACACAGAAGAGGTACTCTCTTCCCCCTGAGAGAGAGAGAGGGCATGGGGCATTATTCCATGGGGTTCTGGGGTGCAAGTGGGGTGGGGGGCTATTGGCCACCAAGACTAGGCTGGTGACAACATGGGGCTTCTCTTTATTTACTTTTTTACTCATAATTCTTTATTTTGAAAAAAAATTCTTTCTTTCTTTTTTTTTTTTTTTTTGAGATGCAGTTTTGCTCTTGTTGCCCAGGCTGGAGTGCAATGGTGCAATCTCGGCTCACCACAACTGCCACCTCCCAGCTTCAAGTGATTCTCCTGCCTCAGCCTCCAGCGCACCTGGGATTACAGGCACTCGCCACCACACTTGGCTAATTTTTTTCATTTTTACTATAGATGGGGTTTCTCCATGTTGGCCAGGCTGGTCTTGAACTCCCAACCTCAGGTGATCTGCCTACCTTGGCCTCCCAAAGTGCTGGGATTACAGGGGTGATCCACCATGCCTTGCAGAAAAAAAAAAATTCAAACTTAACAGAAAAGTTTAAAATAATACAAATAACTGTATATCTTTCATCCAAATTTATCTTTCATTAACATCTTGCCACATTTGCTTTTTCTCTCCGTTTTCTCTGACCCACTTGGGAGAAAGTTGCAGATATCACACCCTTTGTCTCTAAGTGTTGGTAATGCTCCCATCATTGTACTGTGGATAGGTAAGAAATGTCCCTGTTCTGGAAATACACAGTGCTTCCACAGTACCTCCACAGTACTTCCACAGTACCTCCACGGTACTTCCACAGTACCTCCACAGCACCTCCACAGTACCTCCATAGTACTTCTACAGTACTTCCACATAGCACTTCCACAATACTTCCAGAACAAGGGCATTTCTTCCCTATCCACAGTACAATGATGGAATCATAGAAATGTAATGTGGATACAATACCATTATCTGCTGGGAGTAATAGCACATACCTGTAGTCCATCTACTTGGGAGGCTGAGGCAGGAGGATCACTTGAGCCCGGGAGTATAGACCAGCTTGTGCAACATAGGAAAATGCCTGTCTCTACAAAAAATTAAAAAATTAGCTGGGTGTGGTGGTTCACACCTGTAATCCGAGCGCTTTGAGAGGCTGAGGTGGGAAGATCACTTGAGCCCAGAAGTTTGAGACCAGACTGAGCAAGATAGGGAGACTCCTGTCTTTACAAAAAATAAAAAAGACTAGCTGGGTGTGGTGGTGCACACCTGTGGTCCCAGCTACTCTGGAGGCTGAGGTGGGAGCATTGCCTGAGCCCAGGAGGTTGAGGCTGCAGTGAGCCATGATTGCGCCACAGCACTCCAGCCTGGGTGACAGAGTGTGACCCTGTCAAGGAAAGAAAGGAAGGGAAGGGGAAGGAGAAGGAAAGGAATCATATAATCAGCTGGGTGAAAAGAAAAAATAGAAAAATTGCTAAAAAAAGTAAAGAAAAAAGCTACAACACCATGATCTAATGAACAGTTCATATTCAATTTGTCAGTTGTCTCAGACACCCAGGTAGCACTCTCTTTTCAGTCTCCTTGAATCTGAGACAGTTCCTCACTCAGTCTCTTTGTTTTCCATGGCACTGACATTTTTGAAGGGTACAAACCAAATCTTTTGTGGAAATGTCCCTTCTTTTGGACTTGTCTGATATTTCTTCATGATTAGATCCAGGTCATGCATTTCTGGCAGGAGCGCCACAGAGTGTTGTTCTTCGTGCTTTACATGCAGAGGCATAATGGCAGTCTGTCCCATTACTGGAAATGTGAAACACTGATCACTTGGTTAAACACTTGGCTCTTTCTTTCAGGAGTCCACAGCTCCCTGAGATTCTACTGGCAGTTCTGACAAAGACTTCTTTGATCACCTTGGGCAAATCACTCCCCGTCTCTGGACGTTGGCTTGTAAAGGCAGTAATGCAGTTCTCCACCCAGCCCTCTGTCCAGGCCAGCTCCTACTCACCTTCAGAAAAAGTCATTTCCTCAGGGAGGCCCTTTCTAATCCCCCTGTTACAGCCTCCTCCCTAAGCCATTTCTCATAATAAGCCCTAGAGGTCAGGGACCAGGTTTGCCTTGTCCACCAGGCATTTATTCAAGGACCCAGCACAGTGTCTGGCACAAAGCATGTGGTTGGAAGCACTTGGAATAAAAGACTCACAATCAAGTAATTATGCAATACTTTCTGTAACACTATCTCACCCAAAAGAATGTTTGTCCCATCGTGGCAGGGCCCATGCAGGTCTCATTCACTGCTGCACTGGCCAAAACAGGAGCTATGTTTAGGCATTTCCAAAATCCAATCTCTGGACATGCTGTGATTTTGTGCTCATTTTATCTCTGGCTTTATTTCAGATTAAGGGTCTCAAGGTTAAAAATAGGAGAGGAAGGGGGCTTCAGAGACTGTCTTATCCAACTGCCTTATTTAATAGACAAAGAAACTAAACCCAGGAGAGCTTAGGCAGAGGCTTGCTAACACTTCACTTGCATTGTGCAAGAATTCAAGCAGGTTGTCAGGGTGCAGTGGCTCAGGCCTGTAATCTCAGTACTCTCGGAGGAGGCCACGGCAGGCGAATCACTTGAGGTCAGGAGTTCAAGACCAGCCTGGCCAACATGGTGAAACCCTGACTCTACTAAACATACAAAAATTAGCCGGGCGTGGTGGTGGGCACCTGTAATCCCAGCTACTTGGGAGGCTGAGGCAGGAGAATCACTTGAACCTGGGAGGTGGATGTTGCAGTGAGCCAAGATCGAGCCATTGCACTCCAGCCTGGGCAACAAGAGCAAAACTCCGTCTCAAAAAAAACAGAATTCAAACAGGTCATCTTTTGGACTTGGGTTTCTTGGTGAGATAAGCCAGACTTGTGTCTCTGTGGAAAGCACACAGAGACACAAGTCTGGCTCTGGTGGGCTCCCACATGGGGTGCCTGTCTCCTGCCCTCTCCCCTTGGGCATTCAGGGGGCCAGGCAATGGTACTGTACTCAGGAGACTTTCCAGAGGACTCATCCAACTGGAGTCTATTCTCCCTTCAACTCTTCCTAGACTGTAATTGTAGCCAACAAGGATTGCCTTACTTGTTTCCACTCATATAGATGTGTGTCATAACTGTCATTATCCCTGTTTCACAGATGATGAAGCAGAAACCCAGAAAGTGTTGGTAACTTGCTCAGGGTTATGCAGATAGGAAGTGGCAGACTCTGGCTGGTCCAGGCACACAGGTATTTATAACTAATTGATCACAGTAAGTTATAGATTTCTTTGTCCCCCTCCACTCCTACTGCTTCACTCAGTTCGCCTAAGAAAAGAAAAAGTGGCAGAGAGTAGGGAGATAGGGGAGGGACAGGAGAAATACCTAATGTAGATGACAGGGGTATGGATGCAGCAAACCACCCTGGCACGTGTATACCTATGTAATAAACCTGCACATTCTACACATGTACCCCAGAACTTAAAGTATAATAATAATTTAAAAAAGTAGAAAAAAAGGGAAAAAGCCCTGGCAGACTGGGAATGATTTGAACCCAGGCACTGACCTTGAGCTCACACTCTTTTTTTTTATTTTTTTACTAGCTGGTTCAGCTGGGAAGTCATTACAGAGCCTTAATTCCTCTTAATTGCTCTGCTATTCTGTGCACTCTCCTTCTTTAGAAAATGAGGGCACTGCACTGGGCTTTATTTGAGCAAGGCCATTGATCCTGCAGCAGACAGTGAAGATCTTACGCTTTGAGGTCGGATCTGGACGTGAACCAGGACTCTGTCACTTTCTAAGAATGTGGTCCTGGCAAATCATTTAGCTTGACTGGGTTTATTTCCTATTTTGTAAAATGGGGTAATAATACCTACCCCACAGCGTTTTGTAAAAATTAAACGAATGAATTATTTCTCATTAGCAATGTTCTTGGCACACTGTAGAGACTCTTATTGGCAACTCCCGTTCCTTGTTACTATTATAACTCTTTGGTTGTTGTTGTTGTTGTTAAGGATCTATTCTAAGTGATGGAGGCTGTGCCAGGTTTGGGTGGAATTCGGAGGAGAATCCAGTCTTGCCCTTCTGGAGTGTTCAGTTTAGATTCTGTTTGTGGGAAAACAGAGAACAGAGATGTTGAGAGCTTCTGTATACCCTGGTGTTAAGGGACTGAGAATTCAGGATGTTTTTCTGATTCTAGAAGATCCTGGCTTAACAGTTTGCAGAGCATCTGTGCTAGGGATGGCCTGCTGCCTTCTATTCATCCTTCAGAGTTTACCCAGGAAACCACACCTCACCTTCCCTGGAAACTTTTGGGGCCTGAGTCAGTCTCCCTGGCCAGTGACTTGGGCCTGTGGGTGAAGGCCGTCCATGCCAGTCATCCCTGTATACTTGGTATTTGCATGTGTTTACATCAGGAAATCTTACTCAATTCGAGGCTCTGGGTAGAAGGCAACCTTGACCACCAAACGGTGACTGGGGCTGGGTGAAGAGGAGGAGGAAGGTGGTATAGGCAAGGTTCTAGATTCTTTCTGAACCACCAAAAAGTGATATTGTCAGCCTTCAGCACCCTCTAACAACCTGGGAAAGGGTTGCAATTGCTGCATTGTTGAAATGTGAAATCGCAAAGGAACTGTAATGAACTTCTCCACCCCCTCCAAATTCCTACTTATCTTGAGAATTGCCTCAGAAAGACTTGCCAGAGGACTGCCAGATAAAATATAAGATGCCCAGTAGAGTTTCAATTTTAGATAAACAAAGAATATTTTAGTAAAAGAAGGTCCCATGCAATATTTTGTACATAGTTACAGTAAAAAAAATTACTTCTAGTTTATCTGAAATTCAAATTTCATTGGGAAGGCTGCCCACTTGTCATTCAGTATGTACTCGTGTATCAATCCTTTCCTTGCTCCTGTCGGGAAAACCCACAAGGCCCGTCTGTCCCTGTCTGTATTATTCACCACTGGCCCCTGGCACCCAGCCCAGTGTCTGGGACAGAGTGAGTACTTACCATGGTTTATTGAGTGAGTGAATCAGTAAACGTCAGCCTTTCCCCCGCACTTTCTGTGGCTGATAAATCCCGTTTCTGAAGACCGTATCTGAGATGACTGTCATTTCTAGACCCTCTCACATTTATTGTCTGCCCCAGATTGCCTTCATTTCCTATGAGACCTGGGACCCAACACGCTAGAACAGGGAAATAAAAAAAACCCTTAAAGAGGGCCTTATCCACTACCCTGACTTCACCAAAGGGGAAACTGAAGCTCAAAGAGTTTTCAACCACTGACAATGTTCTGAGTGGCTCTTGAAGACACTCATAGGACAAGTTTCTCCTCTGGGCCCCAGGGTGGTCTGCTTCACATGCTTTGAGTCATGGGCTCACGTTTTACATGATAATCCACTATACCATGAGAACCAGTGAGAACAAGCTCATCTTACAGCTCTTTGCATATACAATGTCCGGCATAGTCAGTGCTCAATGAATATGAATGAATGAATCAATCAGTGAATCAATGAATGCATAAGTGGAGCAATTGTGCCACTTATGGCAAGGGAGTTGTCTATGAAATGGGGAAGGTGGCAGTTCTATTTGGCTGGGCTGATGTGAGAGTTAATGAGATTATATATGTAAGTCATCTGGCTCTGAGCCTAGTGCGTCATTATTACTCAGTAAACAGTAGATCTCATTGTGAGACACAACAGAGCTTGGAGCTGTGAATGTTTGCAAAGGGGAAACGAGGAATCTGGGAATGAGAAGTAGTGCTGCCCTGCACTCTAAAATCCAAACTCAGCCAGATGTGGGCTCACACCTGTAAACCCAGCACTTTGGGAGGCTGAGGTGGGAGTATCACTTGACCCCAGGGGTTCGGGACTACCCTGGGCAACACAGCAAAATCCCATCATTGCAAAAAATACAAAAATGAGTTGGGCATGGCGGTACACCCCTGTAGGAAGGAGGTTGAGGCTGCAGTGAGCCATAATGGCTCATGCATTCCAGCCTGGATGGCAGAGCAAGACTGTCTCAAAAATACATACATACATGCATAAAAATGAAATCTCGTGGCCTCCAAGGCCCTGCTGGATCTGGCCCCTGCCTGCCTCTCTAACTTCCTTGCCCTCCACTTTCCCTCTCCTTTTCCCTCTCTATGCTTCAGCTACACTGATCTTTTTGTTCCTCACAAGGGCCAACCTCATTCCCACCTCCTGGCCTTTGCATGCTCTGTGCTTTGAATGTGCTTCATATACCTGGTTCCCTTGATCCTTCAGCTCTTAGCTCAGCATTACATCTTCCAAGAAGGCTCCCTGCTCACCAGCCTGCCATCTGTTTCATCACTCTCTACAGCACCGTCCAGTCCATTTTCTTCAAAGCAGTTGTCTCAGGCTTGCTTTTTTGTCTGTCTCGCCATTTGAATGTAAGCTTCATCAGAGCAAGAAATTCATTCTTCTTCATTGCTGTAGTTTTGGGGTCTGGAAGAGTACCTAGCATCTAGAAGGCACTCTGTTAATGCTAGCTGAATGGATGAATAACTTTGGGCTTTCGCTAGCTCAGTCTTTGATTCTGCACTTCAAAATAAATATAGGTTGTTCCAGTCCATGCCTCCAAGATGACAAAGAAAAGAAGAAGCAATGGTCGTGCCAAAAAGGGCCATGGCCACGTGCAGCCTATTCGCTGCACGAACTGTGCCTGACGTGTGCCCAAGGACAAGGCCATTAAGAAATTTGTGTTTTGAAACATAGTGGAGGCTGCAGCAGTCAGGGACATTTCTGAAGCAAGCATCTTGGATGCCTTCGATGCTGTATGTGAAGCTACATTACTGTGTGAGTTGTGTAATTCACAGCAAAGTAGTTAGGAATCAATCTCATGAAGCCCACAGGGACCAAACACCCCCACTGCGATGTAGACCTGTGGGTGCTGCCCCATGACCTCCGCCAAAGCCCATGTAAGGAGCTGAGTCCTTAAAAACTGAAGATGAACTATTCTCTGGATAAAAATAAAACAGAAATTGTACTTCAAATAAATGAATAAATAAATTCAGGCTGGTGCAAAAGTAATCATGGTTTTTGCCATTACTTTTAATAGTTTGAGCTAATTGTCTTTTAAGTCTCCTTCTGCCTTTAATAATCTGAGGTTCTACGACATGGTTGTTTAGAACATTTTATATGCTGAATATATAGGATGACAATGATCATGTAAATGCCAGTCATTTGGCAGGAGGAGTGCTCATGAGGGGAGTTCCAGGACTGAGAACTCAGTGGGAAAGAGCTTTCTGGTAGATTTAGTAACATCTGCCTTGGATGCAGGAGAGGCCCAGGTATTTGCTTTCCCTGATAGAAGTGAACAATGGGAAACTAAAATGACTTCATGAAATGACTCCAAGCATACCCCACCTAGGCCTCTGTGCTCAGGCACTCATCCGTAGCTTAGAAAATGACACAGGTACCACTTCTTGACTAATGCCTTTTTAGAGATTTTGCTTAATCCTCAAATGTTAATTCAGGTACAACACTACCAGCTTCTCTTAATTCCTTTACCCTTCACCTGGTTTGAAACAGCTTCACTGATAATAATACTGTTGACTATTTGTTTAATCCCATTCCAACTAGAAGAAATCTATAGATGCAAAGCATTGCTCACTGAATTCCTCCCTCCCTCCCTCCCTCCCTCCCTCCCTCCCTCCCTCCCTCCCTCCCTCCCTTCCTTCCTTCCTTCCTTCCTTCCTTTTTTAGAGACAAGTTCTTGCTCTATCACCCAGGGTAAAGTGCAATGGTGCAATCATAGCTCACTGTAGCCTCCAACTCCTGGGCTCAAGCAATCCTCCTTCCTCAGCCTCCTGAGTAGCTAGGACTACAGGCACATGTCACCATATCCGGCTAATTTTTTTGAGTTTTAGTAGGTACAAGATCTTGCTATGTTGCCCAAGCTGGTCTTGGACTCCTAAACTCAAGCAATACTACCACCTTGGCCTCCCAAAGTGCTGGGATTACAGGTGTAAATCACCCCGCCCAACCCAGACTTAGTTTTAGAAAAGTTCTGTGAATTGGCTCTGTGAAATACATATCCACTCAGGACAGCATGAGCTGTGCATGTTTGGGCTGGCCTGTGTCCGAAGCAATGCTGACAGTCCAAAAACCTTATAGTGCTACCAAGATAGAAAGGTGGATTCTTGTACATTTAAGAGAACAATTCAGTCTCTGTCTTTTCATCCTGACCACATGGTTGACCACAGACCACTGGCTTCCCTGGGCTGCTAGGGGAGGGTTATGGAGGTGTGTGCTCCTCTATATGCCCAGAGCTTCCAGCCAATCCCTTGTGACCAGTATTACTATTATTGATTTTTCTGTGAGCTGGCCTGAACCTTAGTCACCCATATCCCCAGTGCTTAACATAAGGCTGACACATAGTGGGGCTTCTACTAAGACTCATAAAATGGGGATATCCACTCAACTGGCTGTGTGGTGCTAAAACTGGATTGTTTAAAAAGCTGAAAGTAACAAATTCTTTTGTTCAATGACCTAGACCCAAGTCTTAACCTTATCCAGGCTTCTCTAAGAGGCAGCAGAGCTGAGGGCAGGTTCTGGAGTTACACATGCACACACACAAACACCACACACACTCTCTCTCCACACATGACATTAAACTTCTTGAGTTACAGATCCCCCTCTTGTAAGATGGGCTACTAAATGGTACCTATCTCATAGTTTATTGCGAAGATTAAAGTAAGATGGTGCAGGTAAAATGCCACGCACACTGCCTGCTAGCAACTATCGTCGCTGTACTTACTAAAGTCTTTTCCCGGCTTCCTCTTAGCTCTCCCTTGAGTTTTTATTCTGGGATTAATTGTCATCACTTCAAGAAAGCCTTCTCTAACCCTCTCTCTCCAGGCAAAGTCAGTCCCTCACTCCCATCCCTGGCACCCACACTGCTTTGCACACATCTCCTCCACAGCCCTCAGTGGGTTGCATCTCAGACCTTCTTCTTCTACTGGATTTTGGAAGCTCCCATGGCAGATGTCATCTCTGATTGCCCTGTCCCTATTGAAGGGGAATCGGTGGCAGTGCCTTCATTCATTTGTCAGCAGGGGTTTGGGGTGTTCATGGTTCTTGCCCTTCATTTGCCTGTCTGTGCTTATCTCTGCCTTCCTTTAGGATGAGCATTTCTGTGACTTTGTGGACATCCTCACTGAGTACAAGACCAAGAACATCTTGGCTTCACCCATAATGAATGGGAAGGATGTGGTAGCCATAATCATGGCTGTGAATAAAGTGGATGGATCCCACTTCACCAAGAGAGATGAAGAGGTAAGAATGCTTTAGAAACTAAGGGTAGCTGGCTGGGCGCGGTGGCTCACACCTATAATCCCAGCACTTTGGGAGGCCGAGGCGAGTGGATCATGAGGTCAAGAGATCGAGACCATACTGGTCAACATGGTGAAACCCCGTCTCTACTAAAAATACAAAAAAATTAGCTGGGTGTGGTGGCGCATGCCTGTAGTCCTAGCTACTTGGGAGGCTGAGGCAGGAGAATTGCTTGAATCCAGGAGGCGGAGGTTGCGGTGAGCCGAGATCGTGCCATTGCACTCCAGCCTGGGTAATAAGAGTGAAACTCTGACTCAAAAAAAAAAAAAAGAAAAGAAAAGAAAGAGGCTACTAAGGGTAGCCACGCTAGCACATTCTCCTAGATTATGAAGTCTCCTCAAGTTTGCTCTTTGGCCTGGCTTCGGTTTCACCATCTGTTGGAAAGGGAATTCACCTGATGTTCTCTGAGGGAGGCAGGATAAAATAATAGTTGAGACACTGGGCTTCGAAGTCAGGAATAGAGAGATAATTGTTCTGTCTCTCCCAATATCTAGCTGTTTGCCTCATGCAAGTTATTTAACTTCTTTGAACTTCTGTTTTCTTATTTGTAAAATGTTGATAATTTTTCAGTATCAACCTCGTAGGGAACTTAACAAGAAAATTCAATAAATAGTAGCTATTTTTCATTGATACACTCTCATCAACATCAACATTCTACATTCTGTGAGTTTCATTAATACACTCCCATCAACATCAACATTCTACATTCTGTGAGTTTCATTAATACACTCCCATCAACATCAACATTCTACATTCTGTGAGTTTCATTAATACACTCCCATCAACATTCTACATTCTGTGAGTTTCATTGATACACTCCCATCAACAGTCTACATTCTGTGAGTTTTACACTCATGTAACATCTTATGAGTCTGCATTCTAGGATCCATCTGCCCAAATTGTCTCTGATGAAGCTTTGAAAATATTTAGATATTTGCTGATGGTAGAAGTAGCCAGCGGATGAATTTTTTCTTCTCATCTGCCTCCCTTCATGCTGTTTGATTTTTAGATTCTTCTCAAGTACCTAAATTTTGCAAATCTAATCATGAAGGTATACCACCTGAGTTACCTGCACAATTGTGAAACTCGACGCGGCCAGGTAAGGGGCTTGGGCCAAGGGAGTGGACTGGACATGTCCTTTCCCTGAAGCATTGATGTGGTCAGGACTGCCAGGCAGATGGGAATGAAGGTGCCTAGGAAGCATTCTCTAGTCTCTGGCCAGCATCACAAGTGCTATGAGGTAGTGCTTGTCTATAAAGCTGTATACCAGAGTGGTAATATGTACAAGCTTCAAGTCAGATGTCTTTGATCTGAATCCCTGCTCAACCACGGACTAGCTCGAAGACCCTAAGCGAGTCATTTAATTTCTCTATGCTTTAGTTTCCCCATTTGAAAAATAGGGATGATTACAGTGCCACCCTCGAAAGGCTGCCATTAATAGTAAATGAGATAATGTATATAGGGCATTAGGGCTCAATTGAAGTTTCTTATTATTTTTATTAAAGCCTATGAGTTAAATGAAAGGGGAAGCGTTGGACCCAATGTAAAGCATCCAGTTACTTCACCTCTCTGAGCCTCAGTTTTTTTGTCTACAAATGGAAGATAATTGGAGAGGGCATGGTGGCTCATGCCTGTAATCCCAGCACTTTGGGAGGCTAAGGTGGGAGGATTGCTTGAAGCCAGAAGTTTGAAACCAGCTTGGAAAACAGTGAAAAATTATTTCTACAAAAAATTTAAAAATTATCTCGGTGCAGTGGTGTGCACCTGTAGTCCCAGCTATTGGGAAGGCTGAGATGGGAGAACTGCTTGAGCCTGGAAGTTGGAAGCTACAGTGAGCTATGATTGTGCTACTGTATTCCAGCCTGGATGACAGAGTAACTCTGCTCCTAAAAAAATAAATTAAAATTAAAAACTTAAAAAAAATCTAAAACTAAAAATGGGAGCGAGTTAACCTATTTCTCTGGGTTATTGTGAAGGTTAAGTGAAATAAACTCTACAGAACTTTACAGAGTTGTTGTTATTCTCCAGCTAAGTGAGCTACTACTTTGCACCTCAAAATCTTTGAATGTATTTTTGTATTTTTTCAGATACTTCTGTGGTCTGGGAGCAAAGTCTTTGAAGAACTTACAGACATCGAAAGACAGTTCCACAAAGCCCTGTACACAGTCCGTGCCTTCCTCAACTGTGACAGATACTCTGTGGGTCTCTTAGACATGACCAAGCAGAAGGTGAGAAAATTTCAGCAACAGACATTTCCAAGAAAAGATTAAACAGACACTGATTGACGGCTAGAGTCTGGGCACACACTCAGTTGCGCAGGGAAGAGGCTGGGTGAATTGGGGTGGTCGTACAAAGTTTTACAGAGGTCTTTACTGAGGAGAGGAGTATCAGCCTTGAAAGGGGAAAAGTCAATCTAGGACACAGGTGAGTGAAAACAATCTATATTTTCCTTAGTCATTTGGAAAGAAAAAAAGTGTACATGTAAAGAAAGCTGACGAGGTGATGAAGGTGAGTGATAAAGAAGTTTCTATGTGGGTTGAAAGTCCAGGAGAAAGTTGCCAACTTCAGGGATTCTCAAAACCTGTCCTGAAAGTTGCTTGTAAAGCTTCACTGAGATTTATCTATTCCAGGGCTCACCCAGGCAATTGAAGTGGAGGCAGAGGCTGACATCTAGTCCCTCACATGCTCAGGGGCCAGATGTGGGGCAGATTCAGCAGTTTAGGAGGCAGAGTTCGATGTAGCTCCCAGAATGTTTTTTTAGATATGTTTCCCCAACTTCCCCATTCCTCTTTATTTGTTTCCAACTTATGGGGCTGATCATTTTCTGCCTTGGAACAGAGTTTCAGAGTTATCTAAGTTTATTATCTCTTATCCTTAAAACCATAGGATTCTATCAGTTTCATTTTCTATGCCTTGTCATGCTGAGGACGGTGCCCAGGCCAAGGCAGACTCTCCAGATATATTGGATCAAGGGAATACATGGATCACAGAATCTAGTCCAGAGGCTCCCAAACTTGGCGATTCATCAGAACCTTCTGATGAGCTGATTTTAAAAATTGCTGAACTACATTTTCTGATAGTCTGCCATTTTTTACTTGATGTTTTACAAACATCTTTCCATGTCAGCGCATATGAATTGTTTCGAATAAGTCTTTATACTGGCACAGTGGCTCACACCTGTAATCCCAGCACTTTAGGGGTTGAGGCGGGAGGATGACTTGAGGCCAGGAGTTTGAGACCAGCTTGGGCAACATAGTGAGACCTGTCTCTACAAAAAATAAAATTAAAATTAAAAAAGAAGCATAACATAGACACAGAAAAGGAATTATAGCTGCTGAATAACAGTTCAGTGAGTGAATGTTCCCATGAAACCACCACCAAAACGAAGGAAGAGAACATGACAAACAGCACCTCAGCAGCCTCCTTCACACCCTCTTCAATATCTCCCACAGCCTCCTCCAGAAAGGTGCCCACCAACTGACATATAATACCATATTAGTTTTGCCTTGTTGAGGTTCATATAAATGGAATCCTACAATACACATGCTTTTGTGTTTGGCTTCTTTCAATTCATCCTTATTGTTTCATTTAGCATGAGTTCATTCATTATCATTCCTGTGGAATTTTCTATTATATAAATAATCCACAATGTATTTATTCATTTCTACTGTTGGTGGACATTTGAGTTTTCAGATCTGGTCTATTATATTTCTATTATGAACCTTCTGGTACATTAATAGTAGAGAGTTGCACACTTTCTGTTAGGTATTTACCTAGGAGTAGAATTTCAAAGTATTACCTTTAATAGATATTGCCTTTCAATTTTCAAAATGATTGTACTGTTTTATACCCTCACCAGCAATGTATAAAGGATTTGTTCATCAATACTTGGTATTATTATTCTTAGTAACTTTAGTCATTCTGGTGAGCATGTGCTTTATCTGTTTTGTTATCAACATGCATTCCCCTAATGACTGATGAGGTTGAATATTTTAAAATGTTTCTTGACCGTTTGGATATATTATTTTGTGAAGCGACTGTTCACATTTTTTTCCCATTAAAAAAAATCACATTGTCTTTTTTTATCTCACTGATTTGTAGGAGTTCTTTGCAAATTCTGGACACAAGTCCACTTTCAAATATATGGATTGCAAATACAGTCATGCACCACATAATGACATTTTGATCAACAATGACCCGCATGTTCTGTGTCCCACATGATTACAATGGAGCTGAAAAATTCCTATTGCTTAGTGATGTTGTAGTGCAATGCATTCTTCACATTTGTGGTGATGCTGGTATTAAAAAGAAAAGAACTACTGCTGCACTGCCAGTTGCATAGAAGTATAGCACATACGATTATGTGTTGTAGTACGTAGTACTTGAAATAGAAAACTCTGTTACTGGTTTATGTATTTATTATACTATATCTTTCCCCCATTATTTTAGAGTTGACTCCTTCTACTTATTTATTTATTTATTTTAAGACGAGGTTTCACCATGTTGATCAGGCTGGTCTTGAACTCCTGACCTCAGGTGATCCTCCTGCCTTGGCCTCCAAAGTGCTTGGATTACATGCGTAACCCACCACACCCGGCCCTTCTTCCACTTAAGAGAAAAGAAAAAATTTATTGTGTTTTTAGTAAAGACGGTTTCATCATGTTGACCAGGCTGGTGAAACAGCCTCAGGCAGGTCCTTCAGGAGATATTCCAGAAGAAGGCATTGTTGTCATAGGAGATGAGAGCTCCATGCAGCCTTGAAGACTTTCCAATAGGACAAGGTGTGGTGGTGGAAGATGGTGATATTGATGATCCTGAACCTGTGCAGGCCTAGCCTAGTGTGTGTGTTTGTGTCTTAGTTTTTTTTTTTTTTTTTTTTTTTTTAAAGACAGGGTTTCACCATGTTGGCCAGGCTGGTCTTGAACTCCTGACCTCAGGTGATCTGCCCGCCTCGGCCTCCCAAAGTGCTGAGTTTACAAGTGTGAGCCACTGCGCCCGGTTGTGTCTTAGTTTTTAATAAAAAAGTTTAGAAAATAAACAAAAAATTTCAAGAGAAAAAAGCTTATAAAGATATAAAGCAAATATTTTTGTTCTGATTCAAGCACCAAAGGCATAAAAAAAGAAAAGAAAGTCACGATATTTGCAATAATTTTTTTAAAAAGAAAGTATTTTTGTAGAGCTGTACAATGTGTTTGTGTGTTAAGCTAAGTATTACTACAAAAGAGTCAAAACATTTTTAAAAATAAAAAATTTTATAAAGAAAAATTTTAAAATTTATAAAGTAAAAAAGTTACAAGATAGGCTTTGTGGCTCATACCTGCAATCCCAGCTACTCAAGAGGCTGAAGTGGAAGAATCGCTTGAAGTGAGGAGTCTGCATCTGCAGTGAGCTATGACAAGCAAGATCCGATCTCTAAATTAATTAATTAACTAAAAAGTACAGAAAGCTAAGGTTAATTTACTATTGAAGAAAGAAATTTTGTCGTCTTTTTTTTTTTTTTTTTTGAGACGGAGTCTCGCTCTGTCATCAGGTGTAAGCTTAGGTGTTTAGTAAGCTATACAATCTGGGGTAAGGCAAGTGCACTCTACAATGTTCACACAATGACAAAATTACCCAACGACACACACATTTCTTGGAACATATCCCCATTGTTAAGTGATGCATGACTGTGTCTTCTCCCACTCTGTGCTTTTATTCTCTTGCTCTCTCTCTCTCTCTTTTTTTTTTTTTTTGGAGACGGAGTTTTGCTCGTCGCCCAGGCTGGAGTGCAATGGTGTGATCTCGGCTCACTGCAACCTCCGCCTTCTGGGATCAAGCAATTCTCTTGCCTCAGCCTCCCAAGTAGCTGGGATTACAGGCACCTGCTACCATGCCCAGCTAATTTTTGTATTTTTAGTAGAGACAGGGCTTCACCATGTTGGCCAGGCTGGTCTTGAACTCCTGACCTCAGGTGAGCCACCCGCCTCAGCCTCCCAAAGTGCTGGAATTATAGGGGTGAACCACCATGCCTGGCCAGTGCTTTCATTCCCTTAATGGTGTGTTTTGATGAGTATAAGTTCTGAATGATAATGTAGTCCAATTTATCAATCTTTTCCTTTATAGTTACTGATTCTTGGGCTGTAATGAGGAAATCTTTCCTGCCTCTAAGTTTATAGAGACATTTACACATGTCAAATTCTAAAAGGTTTATTGTTTTAACTTTCACATATAGCTCTACCTGGAATTTTTTTATGTTTAGTGTGAAAATCATCTTACCTTTATTATCAACCAAGTGTCCATATATATGTGGATATCTTTCTGGATTCTCTTTTTTGTTCCATTGGTATACACACACACACACACACACACACACACACACACACCCCAATGGAACAACAACAACAAATATACATATATATATATATATTTATTTATTATTATTATTTTTTTCCAAGACAGATAATTCACTCTTTTGCCCAGCATGGAGAGCTGTGGTATGATCTTGGCTCACTGCAATCTTCAACTCCCAGGTTCAAGCAATTCTCCTGCCTCAGCTGGGATTACAGACACATGCCACCACACCCAGCTAATTTGTGTGTTTTTAGTAGAGATGGGGTTTCACCATGTTGGCCAGGCTGGCCTTGAACTTCTGACCTCAAGTGATCCACCCACCTTAGCCTTCCAAAGTACTAGGATTACAGGTGTGAGCCACCAAGCCCAGCCTCCGTTGGTATATTTATCTATTCTTCTGCGATACTATCCTGTCGTAATTTCAGTATGTTTATAAAGTATCTTGATACCTGGTAGTGAAAAGACCTCTAAGTTTATTGTTATTATACGTTAGACTTTTCCACCATGCTTTGTGTCTCATACTTCATGTGTTTTCCATCTTTTCGTATTTTTGCACTTTAGTTTGAATATTTGTTTTGATCCATCTTCTATTAATTACTTTTTTTTTTTTTTTGAGACAGAGTCTCATTCCATCACCCATGCTGGAGTGCAGTGGCATGATGTTGGCTCACTGCAACTTCCACCTCCCAGGTTCAAGCGATTCTCATGCCTCAGCCTCCTGAATAGCTGGGACTATGAGCATGGGCCACTATGCCCAGCTAATTTTTTAATTTTTAGTAGAGACAGGGTTTTGTCATGTTGGCCAGGCTGGTCTCAAACTCCTGACCTCAAGTGATCTGCCTGCCGCCACCTCCCAAAGTGCTGGGATTACAGGTGTAAGCCCAGTTAACTGTCTCTT